CTCTGATTTGCTACAACCGTATGTCCCACCATGTTCCCTGAGGTCAGCGGAGCAGTTGCTCCTCACAGTTCCAGGAACTCGTCTTAAGCGCAGAGGTGACAGGGCCTTCTCTGTAGCAGGACCAAGACTTTGGAATGAGTTACCTCTGCTTGTCAGACAGGCCCCCTCCCTCTCGGTTTTCAAGTCCCATTTAAAAACTCAATACTATTCAATAGCTTTCGAGACCAGATGATCTGTGTTTTGATCCTGTATGCTCCTCACTGGTTTGTCGTCATTATCTGCATCGTTTTTTGTCTATATTCTGATTTACCTCATTTTGTATTTTCCTTTGTGTGTTACCTGTTGTTTTGTCTGTACAACACTTTGGTTGGCCTTGTTGCTGTTTTAAGTGCATTATAAATAAAGTGGTATGGTATGGTCTGGTAAAATCACTGACCGGAATCTATGGTGAGCTTCTCCCTCAGGTAGTCGTAGGTCTGCCTGGACACCTGGTCGGTGGAGCGTTGCTTGGCCTTGTTCAGGTCCAGCAGGCTGCGGATCTTTTCAATTTTCTTCAGCAGATCGTGGTCGTTCTTCTCCATCACACCCTGGATCCTGCAGCCTGATGGGCATTTAGAGTTCTGATGCAGTAAAGAAAAACAAACATATAAGACTTTTATTGTAAGCAATTCACTTAATTCTTACATTTATCAATATATTTAGCTTTATATTTATTAATTTATTAGCTGGTTGCTGGTATTAAGAGGGCCAAGGCCACATATGCACAGAGGATCAAGGCTGAATTCACCTCACAAGACCCTTGGAGCATGTGGAGGGGCATTAAGTGTATAACAGATTATAAAGACAGGCATGAACAATGCCCATCTCTGCCTGATGCCCTCAACAAGTTCTATGCACGCTTTGAAGACCCGAACAGACCACCCAGCACCAGACTCACCTCACCACCAGATGAAGAGCATCTCAGCGTGACCTCAGCCGAAGTAAGGAGTACTTTCAGGAGGATTAATCCGCACAAAGCAACTGGCCCAGACAACATCCCCGGAAAATTGTTGAAGGAATGTGCCGATCAGCTCTGCGAGGTGCTGGCAGACATCTTTAACACCTCACTTACCCTGGAGACAGTTCCCACCTGCCTGAAGACTGCCACCATCATTCCAGTCCCAAAAAGCTCTACAGTGACTGGTCTGAATGACTATCGGCCAGTGGCCCTCACCCTGATAGTTGCTAAATGCTTCAAAAAACTGGTCAAGACTCACATCAAAACAACCATCAACATCAACGAGGACCCTCATCAGTATGCATACCGTGAGAACCGATTAACAGAGGACACCATCTCCTCTGTGGTCCACACTGCTCTTACCCACCTGGAGAAGAAGGACTCCTACGTCCATATGCTCTTTATGGACTTCACATCCGCCTTCAACACCATGATCCTCCAAACCCTGAGGGACAAACTATTCACACTAGGACTAAGTCCCTCCATTTGCAACTGGGTACTAGACTTCTTAACAAACAAACCACAGTCAGTGAGGTTCCACAACTTCTCCTCCTCCACCATAACCCTCAGCACTGGCTCTCCTCAGGGATGCGTGTTGAGCCCCATCCATTTCTCTGCTCACGTATGATTGTGCAGCTACCCATACAGGCTGTCACATTGTAAAGTTTGCAGATGATACAGTGGTGGTGGGATGCATCACAAACAATGATGAGCCCAGCTATAGGCAGGAGGTGGAACACCCGGAGAGCTGGTGAAAAGAGAATAACTTTCACATCAATGTGAAGAAGACAAAGGAGATGATTGTGGACTTCAGAAGGAACAAAAACACTTCTCTCACTGGTACATTTTCATATTTGAATCACTTCTTGGTCTGCTGCCTTCATACATCTCCTCCTACATGTCTCTGTGTGAGTGCAGCTACAGCGTGCGCTCTCAGGACATTATTACCTGCAATGTTCCCTCAATGAGGACTGAACTAGACAAAAGGGCCTTCTCCTACCCCGCTCCAGTTTCCTGGAATACTTTACAAAAACAATTGAAGCTCTCGACCTTGACCTCTCTAAGTGGCTTTAAGAATCTGTTGGACTCCTGGCAGGGACCAACGCAGACATGTTCCTGTTTTTAGTTTTCTACATTCGCCTTAGAATCTAGCTGTTTTTTGTTACCTTTTTCTTTTAGCCATCCTACTTGAAAAAAAAAAACCCTGCAGTCTGACTTTTTATAATTGTTTATTGTTGTTGCTGTTGTCCATTGTTGTCATCTTTCTTTGTTGAAATCAGGTCTCTCTTGTAAATGAGTCCTCGAGGCTCAATGGGATTTACCTGTCTAAATAAATCCAAAAAAGTTCAATCTGGTCCTCTGGACACTAAAACCCCCCCCAAAAAAACAAAACAAAGCAAAAAAATATAGAAACGTTTCGTCTCTCATCTCAGATGAGAGACGAACAGAGCAAACAGAGCTAGCAGACCGTGCGAACATGTAGAGCTAACAGACGGAGCTAACAAACAAAAGGGACATGTAGTGCTAGTAGACAGAGCTAACATGTAGAATTAGTAAACAGAGCTACCAGACCGTGTTGACATGTAGAGATAGCAGACAGAGCTAACAGACAAAACTGACAAGTAGCGCTAGCTGACAGAACTAACAAGTAGAACTAGCAAACAGAGCTAGCAGATCATGCTAACAAGTATAACTAGCAAACATAACCTGCAGACTGTACTAACGTGTAAAGCTATCAGACAGAGTTAACAGACAAAATGGACATGTAGTGCTAGCAGACAGAGCTAACAAGTAGAATTAGCATACAGAGCTAGCAGATGTGCTAACATATAGAGCTAGCAGACAGAGCTACCAGACAAAATGGACGTGTAGCACTAGCAGACAGAGCTAACATGTAGAATTAACATACAGAGCTTGCCAACCGTGCTAACATATAGAGCTAGCAGACAGAGCTAACAGACAAAATGGACATGTAGCGCTAGCAGACAGAGCTAACAAATAGAACTAGCAAATAGAGCTAGCAGACCGTGCTAACATATAGAGCTAGCAGACAAAATGGACAAGTAGCGCTAGCAGACAGAGCTAACAAATAGAACTAGCAAATAGAGCTAGCAGACCGTGCTAACATATAGAGCTAGCAGACAGAGCTAGCAGACAAAATGGACAAGTAGCGCTAGCAGACAGAGCTAACAAATAGAACTAGCAAATAGAGCTAGCAGACCGTGCTAACATATAGAGCTAGCAGACATCTACTTTTTTCAAAATGTTCTCCGGGACGACCCCCAGATCCCCCCCCACACCCCAATCAGTGTGTCCCCCCACATAACAAATGTTTCTGACACCAATGCTACTACTATTAATTTCTTTGTTTAATTACTCTTAGGAAAGGCAGCACGGTGGCGCAACTGGTAGGGCTGCTTCTGTCAGCGAGAAGGTTGCCGGTTCAAATCCTGGTCCGTGGGCCTTTCTGGGTTCTCTCCGTGCATGCGTGGGTTTTCTCCGGGTACTCCGGTTTCTTCCCACAGACCAAAAACATGCATGTTAGACTGATTGGTCTAAATTGTCCCTAGGTGTGAGTGAGAGAGTGAAAGTTTGTTTGTCTCGTTTGTCTCAATGTGGCCCTGCGATGGACTTGCGACCCGTCCAGGGTGTACCCTGCTCCTTGCAAAGTGATTGCTGGACATTGGCACTGGCGACCCCTGTGACCCAAAATGGAAGAAGCGGGTAAAAGATAATGAATGGATGGATGGATGGATGGATTTGAGATATGAACTAAGAAAAACATGAATAAAAATAAGCACTGGCAGCAAAAAACCCAATACACCAAACAGCAGCACAAACATGTGTCTGTGTGATAAGATGAGTATGAATGAACACAGCAACATGAAACAGATCAGCAGCAACATGAAACAGATCAGCAGCAACATGATGTGATTTTTCACAGTGATTATTCTGGTTAGAGATTCATGAGTCTAACTGCCTCAGGGTAGAAGCTATTCCTCAGTCTAGTGGTTCTACACTTAATGCTCATCAACCTCCTTCCTGAGGGGAGAGGGGCAAAAAGTGTGTGTGCTGGGTGAGTGTGGTCCTTCATGATGCAGGTGGCCCTCTTCCTGCATCTGGAGGTGTAGATGTCTGTGATGGCGGGGAGACTGACTCCAACATCTTCTGTGCAGCCTTCACCACTCTCTGCAAAGCTTTTCTTTCTGCAGCTGTGCAGCCTCCATGCCACACGTTGATGCTGGAGCACAGGATGCTCTCCACTGCACACCTGTAGAAGGAGGTGAGGACTGAGCTTCCAGACCAGCTCGTCTCAGCAGTCTGAGGAAGTAGAGTCTCTGATGAGCTTTCTTCATCAGGCTGGTGGCGTTGTTGCTCCAGCTGAGGTTGTCATTCAGGTGAACACCCAAGTACTTGTAGCTGGAGATCAGTTCCACCACAGATCCTCTTATGTTTGGGGGGGGGGGGGGGGTAGGTGTGTTTGTTCCTTCTGAAGTTGACAACCATCTCCTTTGTCTTCTTCACATAGATGTGAAGGTTATTTTCCTTGCATCAGCTCTTCAGGTGTTCTACCTCCTGCCTGTAGCTGGACTCATCATTGTACCGCTTTATCATCTGCAAACCTTACAAAGCTTGCAGAGTGAACAGAAGAGGGCTCAGCACACAGCCCTGAGGGAAGCCACTACTGAGAGTGAGAGAAGTGTGGACCACAGAGATGGCATCTTCTGCAGATCGATTCTCGTGGTGTACGTACTGGTGAGGGTCCTCGTTGATGTTGAAGGTTGTTTTGATGTGGATCATGACCAGTTTTTTTAAGCATTTAGCGACTATCGGGGAGAGGGCTACAGGCCAGTAGTCATTCAGACCAGTCACTGTAGAGCTCTTTGGGACTGGGGTGATGGTGGCGGTCTTCAGTCAAGTGGGAACTGTTGCCAAGGTGAGGGAGGCATTAATGATGTCGGCCAGTACCTCGCAGAGCTGGTTGGCACAGTCTTTCAGCACCTTCCTGGGGACGTTGTCTGGGCCTGTTGTTTTGTGAAGATTAATCTTCCTGAAAGTACTTCTTACTTTAGCTGAGGTCACACTGAGAAGCTCTTTTTCCTGCTTCTACATTTGATTTTTACAGTTTCAACATGAATAAATATGCAAAAATAATGAGACCATGACTGTCCCCATTTTTCATTTCATCTTGATAACATTTTATACTTTGTTGTCTCAGAGCTGGAAATGTCTCCTGATTTAATGTCAGAAATCTGATCACCTTAAGCCAGCTGCCTTTTTAAGCTTTTTTCTGGCTCAGTTCTGACCTAGTGGTTTAAACCTCTTTATTCAACTCTTGGTTTCTATCCTGTCTGTTGAGGAAGTTCTGGTAATTTGAAAATGAATAATTTTAGTGGACTGGACAAAGTGACAAAGCATTACCCAGTCATCGTCTGAGCAGAAGGGCCATTCCTTCTGAGTGGCACATTTCTCGTCTCTAGTACCGTGGACCACCGGACGGGCTCCTCTGGGGTCCACCACTGAAGTCTGGACAGACAAGAGAAGACAAATGTTTGTGTTGTTTAAACAACAAACAGGCATTTATTCTAACATTCGTTACGCTTCATGTTATTCATTCAGAGACAGAGTTTCTTTATTTGTCAGTCCACCACATGTGGTACATGTGGTGGAATGAGATTATGTATGCAGGGTCCCAGTTACATCTAACAATAAAATGTAAATGAAAAACAGTAATAAGATCTAAGATATGAACTAAGAAAAACATCAACTAAAAATATGCTAAGCACTAATAGCATAAAAACAATACACTGAACAGCAACACGAACATGAGTCTGTGTGAGCAGATGAGCATGTGTGAATTAATCTGCATTACTTAAGAATTAATCTGTGTTAATCTGCACATGCAGATTAACATTCAGCTAAATTCAGAACCGGTTCTTTGGGTTCAGTTCTAGATTTGGAGGAAAAGGCATCATAAACAGAAAAGAAGCTCATATAAACAAATAAACGAGGCAAAAACTCGGGCGTGGGAGGAGTTCGGAGAGGCCATGGAGAATGACTTCCGCACGGCTTCGAGGCGATTCTGGTCCACCATCCGGCATCTCGAGGGGGGGAAAGCGGCACGCCATCAACACTGTTTATAGTGGGAGTCGTGTGCTGCTGACCTCAACTCGGGATGTCGTGGGTCAGTGGGCAGAATACTTTGAAGACCTCCTCAATCACACCGGCACGTCTTCCACAGAGGAAGCGGAGCCTGGGGACTCTGGATCGGGCTCTCCAATCTCTGTTGCTGAGGTCACCGAGGTGGTTAAAAAGCTCCTCGGTGGCAGGGCCCCAGGGGTGGATGAGATTCGCCTGGAGTTCCTTAAGGCTCTGGATGTTGTAGGGTTGTGTTGGCTTACGCGACTCTGCAATATTGCGTGGACATACGGGGAAGTTCCCCTGAATTGGAAGACCGGGGTGGTGGTCCCCCTATTCAAAAAGGGGGACCGTAGAGTGTGTTCCAACTACAGGGGAATCATGCTCTTAAGCCTCCCTGGTAAGGTCTATTCGGGGGTTTTGGAGAGGAGGGTCCATTGAATAGTCAAACCTCAAATTCAGGAGGAGCAATGCGGTTTTCATCCTGGCCGTGGAGCACTGGACCAGCTCTGGCTGGAGGGTGCGTAGGAGTTTGCCCAACCGGTCTACATGTGCATTTTGGACTTGGAGAAGGCGTTCGACCGCATCCCTCGGGGAACCCTGTGGGGGGTACTCTGGGAGTATGGGGTACCGGGCCCTTTGATACGGGCTGTTAGGTCCCTGTATGACCGGTGTCAGAGCCTAGTCTGCATTGCCAGCAGTAAGTCAGGCTTGTTCCCAGTTAGAGTTGGACTCCGCCAAGGTTGCTCTTTGTCACCGATTCTGTTCATAACTTTTATGGAGAGACTTTCTAGGCGCAGCCAAGGTGTTGAGGGGATCTGTTTTGGTGGCCTTAGGATTGCGTCTCTGCTTTTTGCAGATGATGTGGTCCTATTGGCTTCATCAGATCGTGATCTACAGCTTTTGCTGGAGCGGTTCGCAGCCGAGTGTGACGCGGCCGGGAAGAAGATCAGTTCCTCCAAATCTGAAGCCATGGTCTTGAGCTGGAAAAGGGTAGAGTTCCCTCTCTGGGTCGGGGAGGAGGTCCTACCCCACATATATGGTCATGAGCTTTGGGTTGTGACCGAAAGAACGAGATCTCGGACACTAGGGGCCAAAATGAGTTTTCTCTGCAGGGTGTCTGGCCTCTCACCTTAGAGACAGGGTGAGAAGCTCGATCATCCTGGAGGGACTCAGAATAGAGCTGCTGCTTCTCCACGTCAAGAGGAGCCAGTTGAGGTGGATCGGGCATCTGTTTAGGATGCCTCCTGAACACCTCCCTGGTGAGGTGTCCCGGACACATCCCACCGGGAGGAGGCCCAGAGGAAGACCCAGGACACGCTGGAGGGACTATGTTTCTTGGCTGGCCTGGGAACACCTTGGGATTCCCCCGGAGGAGCTGGACCAAGTGGCTGAGGAGAGGGAAGTCAGGGCCTCTCCACTTAGGCTGCTACACCCGCGACCCGACCCCGGATAAGCGGAAGAAAATGGATAGATGGATGGATAAATACTGAATAATTAATTATTGAACAATTAATTACTGACAACAATTATTTGCTCAATAATTAAATATCAAACAATTAATTACATAACAGTTAATTACCTCACAAATAATTACCAAACAATTAATTAACAAACAATTAATTTCTGAAGAATTAAGCTCTGAATAATAACATTTTGAACAATTATTTACTGCAAAATAAATTACTCAATAATTAATTATTTTACAATTAATGAACAATTAATCACTCAATAACTAATTACTGAACAATAATTAATGAACAATTAATTATCAAACAATTAATAACCAAACAACTAATTATCGAACAATTAATTATCCAATAATTAATAACTGAACAATTTATTGCTGAACAACTAATTACTGATCAATTAATTATTTTAAATTTAATTCATTTCAGTTTATATAGCACCAAGTCACAAAAAAAATTGTCTCATTGCAATTATTGAACAGTAAACTACCGAACAATAAATTACACAATAATTATATATACATACATACATACATACATGTACGTACATATATATATAAATATATTGTTATTTATTTTTCTGTACATTAATTTCAAATAGATAATTTGTTTCATGTCTTTTTGCGACTTAGAGTGAAATG